GCACTCATTAGCTGTCCTCCATATGACAGGAAGAGCAAACAGCGGATAGAAAACACTCATTTGATTACATGGTGGAAATCAAGGCTTTAAACAGCTGGTTAAAATGCTCAACCAAAGATACAACACCAAGGTAGAAAACACTTTTTTACTTGTATTGTGTGACAGCATTGTGCAGCTCCTGAAGAGTTAGAGGGTTTAGTTACTTTAGTTATTGTTTAAGTGAAGTGTAATTCAGGCTGTTGAAGAATAAAGGTGGTCGTACCAAATACTGACTTTCATCCTGGTTAGAAACTCTGAATCCACATGGTTCAATAAATCACTGCATCCATTTCACATTTTTCTAGCAACTTAGGAGAAATGAGGGATGGCTCAAGAGTTTTGGACATTACTGTATCTACCCATCCTACCAGTACAGTACGGTGAAAGTCCTTCAAATCATAATCCCTCATAAAAAAACAACAAAAAAACAAAAACAAAAGACCTTTAAATCCACGCTGGCAGCTCTCTATCTGTTTACATCTCTTAATAAAAGCTTTTTTGTATTTGGGTCAGCGATGACCATGTGATGCACGGAGCCTTAACAGTCTCTTTAGTCAGATGGTGTACAGTGATTTAGCTAATGGTCTCCTCATGCTGGTTCTTTTCTTCGGTCTCGTCTGCTGTGGACTGAAAAAGTCTGTGTGTTTATCACAGCTGACTGCAGAAACAAAGCTGGCTGGATTTCAGAGTTAGCATGCTTGCTTCTGTAATCTAAGTAAACTCACAGAAATGAAATCTGTTAAAAGGCATTAATTCAGACAACTTAAAAAGCATTCCAGGCGATTTTAGACAGGGGACTGTTTCGCTTGGGGAACATAAAAATTCAGTAATTCCCACAAGGAAATCGGCTACATGGCTAATTCTGCAGCAGTAATAAGTGTTGGTTTTTCTGCTGTATTCCCTTCCAAGCTAATTGAGTAGATGTTTTTCGGCTTTTGGGGCTAATGCAGCTCAGAGCTTGCTGCTACAAACTATTACAAAATGTTAATAATAATGATAAATCATGCAAACATGAAAAATGGTCTTTTGGTTTAAATCCAGCCACGCAGAGCTTATTTCAATACATTTGTTTTTTAAGAACTGTCATGTCAGTACAAGAGGTTTATCACAAGTTGGTATAATGGTGCTCCAAGGTGAGTCATGCAGGAAATTTGAATGAAAAATAAAAAATAAAAGCGGGTGAGAAACTAAAAATATCATACAAAGCTCACACAATAACGGTAAAACAATGCAATACAATCAAACAAAAGTAAATGCAAATTAGTGATTTGCAAAAGTCGAGAAAAACCTACAGAGGTTTATAAAGAAAAGTAACACGTTTCAGATTAAGAGGAAGGTAATGACAACAGCAAAAGAGAAGCTCAAATATAATAGATGTGTGTCATTCAGACACGGTGCCTTAAGGGAACCTGCTGTGCTCATTTCCAGCTCTACAGCACGCTGTGCGTCTCCGGGTTCTGCCCGTGACTGAAGCAAGTCTTTTTTACGTCCTGTCTCTTTAAGGCACCAGCACACACCCAGCAAACTGTAAATGGTACATGAGGACTGACATGATACTGGCAGCA